TGAGGTAGGACTAAATCCCTTGTACCGCGGTCATTTCTGGCCTATTGTACCAGCCCCAGATGATAGGTGAGGGTGATTGTGAAGCAATTGGTGGAATGAAGATTGACAGGGGAAACCGAAATACTTGGAGAAAACCTACCCCAGTGCCACTTTGTCCACCACAAATCCCACTTGACCAGACCCGGGATCGAACCCGGGCTGCCGCGGTGGGAAGCCAGCGACTAACTGCTTGAACTATGGCGCTGCCCAAGTTACAGGGATAGCTTTACCTTTTTATACATATAGCACACTAATTCGATGAAGAAGACCAGAACTCTTCTTAGTAGTCTAATTATAACTCAGCTAGTCAATAAATTGCTGGTGACAGTAGCCGAGCGGTCTAAGGCATGTACTGTCTTCGGTCGCTTGGAAAGCGGGATCGTGGGTTCGAATCCCACTCAGGGCATGGATGTTTAGTTTGTGTGTGTGCGTTTTTCTGTGTTTGTGTACAGGTAGAGGCCTTGCGACGAGCTGATCACCCGCCCAAGGAGTCCTACCGAACGTGTAAGATCTAGAAAAACCGAAGTGAACGGAGAAGCTCATAGAGGTAGGCCTAGGCCCACTGGGGCTATAGTGCCAAGGAAAAAAAAAAGTCAATAAATTGCCTTGCTTTTATGGCATCCGAAAGTTCATTAAAGTGTTCACAGTCCGTCAATGAACCCTGCCCTGAACCGAATCCATCCCGCGCTGACTCGTAAACCCTATGTTTAAGATGCAGCTTAATGTTATCCTCCTTACATCTACANATAATTATAATTATAAAATAATAATAATTAATAATTAATTGATTAATTAATTGAAAAATATTCAGAACGAGATCCTCCATGTTCAATACACAACTCACAGCGCTGTGATGCCGTTTCACAAAGTGAGTGGCAGTTTAAATCTGAACATTCCAGTTAATACAACAGAATGTTTTAAGTTAACTGAGTTTTGGGCCACTGTGTGTATACATGTATGCAAAGTGACATAAGACATATAATATATACGAGTATATTAAGAACTGTACTTCCATGAAGGCCTGACAAATGTATGCAATCCAGTCATTCAAAGAACTTCCCACATTTCTTTTGCCTCTATCCCTACAAATCTGCTAGCTCTGCCGCTCGAATAAACGTGGACATATTTCTGTATAAGCAAAGAGAGAGATTTTTGTAAGCAACATCTGCACAGTGAAGCGTAGTGTGAAGGTGCAGCCGTGAGGAATCTTAACCTCAGCACTAAATGAAGACAAGTCGTTAGCTTCACATCTTTGCCCCTTTACCCCCGGGAAAGTGCCCACAGTAATAGAGGATGGGTGGATCCAAAGCCTCTCTGGACGCTGCAGATAAGAATTAACTTTTGTCCCTACAGAAAATCGAATTCCAATTCGAAGAGTCATGTGTGCATAAATATAACACCGTGTAGTCCGTTGAAATTCAACTGACATTTCGGAGAAACGTGTCGCCTCCATCTTCACGGTCAAAAATAAACCACAAAAATAAAGCATCATGAACCAGATAGCAAGCAGAGCTTCATACTGGTTCCTTGCTTGGCTTGGTCTTAGACCTTGAAGATGGAGGCGACATGTGCGTACGAAATGTTAGTTGATTTTCAACGGACTACACGGTGTTATACTCCAGAAGAGAGAAATCTCAGAATCTCAGATTCTGTGAATTCCAATTCCCTTCTCGTCCAGTCTGTTTTTATGATTTTATGGCTTATTTAATGACCCTGGCAGTTGGGCCTGGCGGTAGGGAATTAGAAACTTCAAGAGCGAATTTTAATGAAATGGCATGACACTCGTTTAGTTTCATTGAAAGCGGTTAGCTGGTTCAAAGCTTATCTGCGAGATATTACAGACAGTCTAACGCATACTTATGATGTTAACAAATAACACAATTTCCTCACAGGACCAGAAACACAAACAAAAAACATTTCTTCATAACAGAAAGAAAAATTCTTTTAAGCTTTCTGATTGATCATGAAGTAGAAATTTTCAAAACATACTGTGTGTAAATTACACTGACTACTATGACCTTGTAATTAATTAAAAGTTATAACAATTTATCATCAACTCTGTGAATATCCTCCCCCACCCCCAACAGTTTCTCTTCTAAGATCGACAGTTTTTTTGAAAGCTGATTCTTCCAATCTTGTCTGCGAGACTACGGAAAGATGGACGCAGTATATAATGAAGGAAAGCCTGGAACATCTGTGTGTACGCGAGAGCATTTTCGTGTAGTGGAACACACCGTCCCGAACCCGAAGACAATCAGCCCTCTTGTGCGCAAGCGCGTTGTTAGTGGGATCCGGAAAGCGATTCCCCCTTCCCCTTTTCGTTCTGGATTCCACCCTCTCTCTCTCACTTCCAGGACTTCATATCTGATTTCTCCTACTCCTGTATTTCGCATTGGACACTCTGGCCTGTTTCCCATCAGAATTAATCTGCAACTATTGAACGTTATAGAAAACTTGTAGGACTCTGAACGAACGATAGGCTCTGTAGCAAGGCCAACACATACAGAGGGCAGTATAAACAGAGAATAAAGGCGGACAGATTCCTATGGCCCCAGTGGGATTCGAACAGATGATCTCAATGTTTAAGCAGGCGAAAACATTATATGCATTAGACCGGGCGGCAACTCTAATCGGCTCTGATTGCTGATAAAACCTGCACACGAGTGAAGTTGGTTCATTACACTAAACCGCTAATGAATCTGTCGCTTCTAATATTCATGATATATTTTGAGACCGTTTCCTGGCATGGGTCTGGAGAAACCGAAGAAAAACAAGAAAAACTTCACTTAGGTTTCATGTCTGGATGCAGACAACATACACTCATTACATGTAATCGTTGTGGAGGCGCTGGCTTTTCAGAAACAGAATCTTATTGTTCTGCAGAGCTCTGATACCACAACGAACTCCATGAGGCACAACTATTCTTCAGCAGCTGATGGTCGCTCAGCTTGCCCAGAAATTCTTCAAGTCTTATGAACTCTAAAGACTCATTTCCGCGTTCATCAGAACCTGACATTGAACCGTAAGAGTCGTGGTTCGAATTTGTTCCTTCTAACAAGACATTAGGATCATACAAAGCGATGTAGCGTCCTTTTGCGTCTATAGTACTTAAACATTATTAATTTGACCGAGAACTCGGGACAGCGCAGTCGGTATAGCGACTGACTATGGGCGGGACTACCGAGGGGTCCGACTTTGAGTCCCGATATGGTCAAGAATTTTGTCTCTTCTACACTGCCCAGACCGGCTCTGGGATCCACTCAACTTCCTGTCCAATAGGTACCGTTGGCTCTTTCCCCGGGGGTAAAGCGAACGGGGCGTGAAGCTGACCACTCACCTTCAGCTAGTGCTGAGGTAAAGAAAATGTGGATCTATACATCTACTCCCCTATACTCCTTCATAGGGTAGTGCTTAATTAGTTAGGCACAGGAACAACTTAAGTTTACTTAGTTTTTACAGATATTCAGTTTCAAGATGAAAAGTTTTATAGCGCAGTTCGGAAGAAGACAGTAGTGGCCTAATTGAAGGTCGAACCACGTGCTTCCAAAATACGAATTTATCAAATTACCAGTACATTAACCTATTGTGAATTGAAGTTGTTGAACTGACGAAAGAAATAGATTAAAGAGATTGTTATTCTCCTGGGGCTATGTTATCTACATGAAGTTTGCACACAGACAGACAGACTGATACAGGGAAGGTACTGGGCAATGAATGCGTGCTAAACTGCTTGCATACAATTAATATATTTCTGCTTGTGTTATCTTTTGTGTTTCATCAGGATATTATTGGTACTTTTTTTAATAGCAAAACTTCCAGCAGAAGAAACTTTCATAATGGTTTGTATTATTTTGTTTGTTTACTTCATTTATGGCACAAAATGTGAGCATAAAGTCAAGTGGAGAATCACGGAACTAACCTCAAGTAGCTCATTTTCATGCCCCGTGGCTTCATTATTACAGACGAGTCTTTCGCATTGAATATGTGGAATTCCAATATCTTGTGTTTGCAAAAGGAAATTAAATTAAGCAGCCCGCTGCCCCTCACCCCTCCACCTGAATTCCAACAACTTAAATTTCATTAACTCACAGCAGTCTCAGACATACACAATAGAATTTCATTGTGGGTTAGATCGAGTAGTGTCAGGACCCGAAGCCTAAAGCCTGACGCCGTACAAATTAATATACAAATACAAGATCAGTTGCAAACTGAGGATATAGTAGAGGAAACATCAATTAAATTAGAAACAGTGAGTGACTTAGTGAGTGGTGTTACAGACCCATCTCTTTGCACTGGATATAATCAAGTTAAAACGTCGATTGTTTAACACGGAATAAAATTAAATTAAATTATTTCAGATGCTAATTTCAGACATTCACTCTTGTTAATTATTGAAGTTAATTCTGTTCTAGGGTTGTCATACCGTATGGACTTCTCAGAGGTACACGCTGCCTCCATCTTCAGGGTAGATGAGTGTAGATTAGTGCGTATCTGTATATATAGCACTGAAAACATATATACCGTATTTACGCATGTATAGGCCGCGTGCGTATATAGGCCGCAGCACAATTTTCAGACAGAAATTATAGAAAAAATAATTTTCTTGGAATATTATTTCAGGAGTATTACACCCTGTATTACTAATTATGAATATAATTTTTTTAAATGAAGTGTGATTTCGAATATTTCGAATATAAGCCCCACCCCAGTTTTCCTCTTGAATTTTTGTCAAAAAATGTGCGGCCTATACATGCGTAAATACGGTATATATATATATACAGCCAATGCCTCTGAAACATGGCAACATTGCCCACATCTACACAACAAACAACCAAAGAACAGAATTAGCATCGTAAGTCAAACTTCAGATGGGGCCAGGCTAACAGCAGTCTGGTAATACACTTCTTCACAGAGATACGTATGTCTGCCTCCACAGAGGAAAGTGCCAGGTCTTAATAGTTATTCAGTGACCTAAGCATTACTACTGTATTGCATTATAGAAAAGAAAGATAGTGGGGAAATACAGAGCATGAGGAAAAGTATTGGTACTTAATTAAGCACAGAGGCAATGTCGCCTGATGTAAATGATAGAGTAGAACAATATCAAAAGAGACATTCTGATAATTTATGTTATAAGGAAGCAGCGCAAGAAATGTACACCAAGCCAATTGTGTGCTCTGCGGCGCTTCGCCTAAATCTGTTCTTGGCCCGCTTTCTGGTATCTAACGACTGGCTATTCGTGGAGTTGGAAGGTGGGAAGGTCAGAAGTAAGTCGACAATGGAGTATCTTATAGTGCGTTTGTAAAGAACGAGACATTTTTCTTTGAAAAGACACGACAGTTTTATTTACCCCTCAAAGGAATAATAATTATGGACTGCTTGCCAAAGCAGCCAAAATTATTTTGTGTGAAGAAGGCAGTTATAGGTGCATTTCACATACGTATGTAAAAAGAATATTTGTTTAATTTCTGTGCGACAATACAATATTATGACATTACGTGCTGGTGTTGGAAAATGGCGTAATATTTGGCATGATGGTGAAGAAGTCAGCACTCTACATATTGAGAAGGAAAAGAAGTGCTCCAAAGTAACACATTTCCTAGTGTCAAGTTATACTCTCCAGAGTAAGTAGACATGAAGCATGACGGTCATATAAATACTTTAAGTTCAGAACCTATCTCAAATGAAACATATCGCATCTCCATTACAAAGACTAATAAGTTAATGTTGTTTGGAGGAATAATCGTTGTTTATTTATTGATTCATAAGAAACATATAATTACTGCATTTTTGTGCAAAATAAGGAGGTGTCTGCGGGTGTCTGGATGAAAGATATTGGAAATAAAAATTGTTTATCTCGGAAACTAATTCTCATACACGTATCCTGTTTATATCATCAGAAAAGAAAATTCTGAAAGTCATGTCCGGTTTACGCGTATGCGCCGCCACATTTCTGCCACCATGTTAGGAATCACCTGGACAGAGTGATGGTTGGGATATGAATTGGCAGAGGTGGGCCAATCGCTTGGCCTCCTAGGTCGCCAGATTTAACCCCACTGGATTTTTTATCCATGATATGTAAGAAGTGTCCGTCTTTTAGTGCACTCAATTTCACTTGTTATTTCACAACATGTTTCGGCACTACAGTGCCATCATCAGGTGCTCCATTTACGTCAATCTATTTCATTGCTTGCCATTACGTCATTGTAAAATTTAAAAAGTATTTTAAAATGTTC